GTCTTGATACTGGAATCGAAATTACAGTTGGCAGAATACAGGGCAGCAAAAGTAAGGATTGGCACTGATTTGTCATAGCCTGTGGCTGTAATGAGGTTATGTGATTTGATATGATCTCATGACAACATGCTCCATAGTTCAGTTTAATAATGTCTATTTATTTATTAATCAAATTTATATGGCTGCCCATCTCACCGGAAGTGGCTCTGGGTGGCGTACGATAATCAGAGAAAACAATGCATATATAACAACAATAAAAATATAAAAGTCAGTATTAAAAATTAAACATTATTAAAATATACAAACCCCAGGTATGGAGAGGGTGAGTATATCCACCTCAGTAGTGGAACCATCTAAGCATGTCTTCAGTTCCCTGGGACCCCCAGGCCTGGTGACATAACCAGGTCTTGAGGGACTTCTGGAACATCAAGAGGGATGGAGCCAACCTCACCTCCAGTTAGGAGGGCGAATGTTCCACAAGATGGACGCCATGGCAGAGAAGGCCTACCTCCTGGGACCCACCCTGTCAGATGGTACCCGCAGCATGCCTTCTTTGCAGATATAATGGGATGGGCTATTGTAATCAGGGAGTGGCAGTCCCTCAGATAACTCGGCCTCATGCCATGAAGGGCTTTAAAGGTTAACACCAGTACCTTGAATTGGACCAGGGCAGCCAATGCAGCTCGCGGAGCAGAGATGTAACATGTACTGCTCTAGGGGCCTGCGCCACTGCATTCTGTACCAGTTGAAGCTTCTGGATACTCTTCAAGGGCAGCTCCACGTAGAGTGCATTACAATAGTCCAATCTGGAGGTGACTAGGGCATGAGTGACTGTGAGCAGAACCTCACGATCCAGGAATGGGAGCAACTGGCACCCCACACAAAGCTGTGCAAAGACCCTGTAGCCACAACTGTCACCTGCTCTTTGAGCAGGAGTCGTGAGTCTAGGAGGACCCCCCAGATTGCGCATCATAATGTTGTGAATACCCTTGCTCTAGACAGTTTAATTATTATCTTTCTCTCTTTTATTTAGGCTAATTGCCCCAAACTCTTGCCCATCAGAAGTATTGGACTCATAAGACTCATAGGACTATGGCAGACGCACAACATTTAATACCGTATTAATTTGTCTTTTCCTCTTCATGTTTAAAGAGCATTGTTCAACTTTACTGTCAGACATGCTCTGTCCTGTACTAAAGCTAACCTGCAGGTACTTTCTGTATGGAGCAGCTTCAAGTAAATACACCTGATGTTTGATCTGCAGATTCTTCGTGCAACCTGGTAACCAAATTCATTGTGCAAATTCTATATAAGCCCCTACATTCAGGGAGTGGGGAGAAGTGGAAACAAGTGACAGGTATCTAAATCCATTTCAGCTATTGCTGTTTTAATATTGTTGGTGCAGGATATGCATTTTCTCTCCAGCAGTTGCAGCATGCTGCTGACTCATCATTTTGTCCTTAGATGACCCTGCTGGATTCTCGTCTGCTGCATACGAGGTTGTGGGGAGGAGGGGGAATAAGGTGGAAAAAAGAGGAATGTCATTGTGAAGCAGCCAGGCTTAAAGCTGCTGCAGCACACCTGAGTGTGCTGAACTGGGCTGGACATTTGTCAGTCCAGGACTGCTGCTTGGTGCTTTTCTCTGCAGTATGCAGAATAATAGCACCGTCCCAGCTGGTGCTGTGCTAAAAATATTGGAATTATGCATCAGGAAAGGCTGAACTCTAGAAGCTGTGCCTATGACATAGACTGAGCACACGTCTGTTTTCATGTTTAGTCTGGTTTTGTTGGTTACTTTGGGGCGTTGTGTGTTAATGTAATACCAGAAAGAAAAGGATGAATGGCCACTCTAAAAATAATCTAAAACTAAACCCCTGCAAAGCTAGCTGTTTAGACCAGCTTTAAATAATAGCTACTTTAGATAATGCAATGGGAGAAGATGCTTCTTGAGTTTTCAGTGTCAGCACTTATGCAAGGATTCCAAAGCTAGAATATATCTAATCAATGGTTGTCTGGTTTCTTCTAAAAGACCTCAGCTGAGGGAGGAGCTATGCACCATTCCTTTTGGTAATGATCCCATTGTCGAATTCCTCTTCCTGATAAGAGCTAACTCTTACCTATTGCTGGGGGGAAATGTCTCTGTCTGGGATTTAACCATTTCATTTTGCCAATGCTTAATTGGAATCGATCTTCCGAATAATCAGGTAGTTCCACAATTGGGACCAGCAACATCACTAGGCGACATGGTTGTTAAGTGAGACATCACATGACTGTGACAGACTTATGACCGCAACTTGCAATTTCACTGCTGGCTTCTCCATTGACTCTGCTTGTTGGAAGCCGGCTGGGAAGCATGGAAATGGTGATCACATGACCGCAGGATGCTGTGATGATCATAAATACCTGAATCTTGATCATGTGACTGCGGGAACGCTGCGATGGTCTTAAGTGCGAAGACTGGTTGTAAAGTTACTTTTTCAGTACTGTCGTAACTTTGAACGTTTGTTAAACAGGGCAGTCATTAAGTGAGGACTACCTGTATCAGAAAAGTATTATTAGAGCAAGTCGAAGGAGGATAGCACTAGTAAAAGCTCCTAGCTTTATCACCAATTTTAAGAAGGGGTAGGTTTTCTTGGTACTATGTGCCAGGGAACACAAGTAGGGGATCCTGCCTCCCTCATATTCTACTCTTGTGAACTTATTTGGAGAAACAGTGTTGGAGTAGATGGATTTTTAGATTTGATACAGCACAACTCTTATATTCTTAAATTCAAAGGCTTATTTACATTCCATTCTTTAATTTTTGACCTGTTTGGCTCTTTTCTCAAGATTCTATCTCTTTGAAATGATCCAGTGCTACATGAGCTCCATGCCATTGCATACGGACAGTTCAGCTGGATTTTTTGGGAACCGTCGGTATATGCCTTGTTTGCATCATTGCAGTATTTTTTTCCCCTTGAACTCCCATAATGGAATGCCTACAGAGGAGGCAGCAAGACAGTTGAGGGAGGAAACAGGGCCATTGCAGAATAATTTATTGAGTCCTTGGTGGGGGAAAAGGTGGGAAAGAGGCTACTCCATCTTAATTATACTAGGTATAAACTACACAGGAGAATTATTTTGGTAGGGTTTCAAGATTCTGTTACGTTACCCTCCTAGCAGTAGTGGTCTTTCCAGAAATCGAAATGGTTCTTGTTATGGAATTTGCCAGCCGTGCAGGGCTTGGCCGCGTAGAAAGCAAACTGCGGAAGCTGAATGTCCGCTTCCTTTTTGAGAAGACGTCTGTTGTTGCTCTGATGCTATCAAATGATCAGACAGGTGGCAACCAACTTGATGGCCCTTCACCTTATAGAAGATTTGCCTGATGTCCAAGAAGCATCTTGTCAGATATCAGCTCTGTTATGGTGCTGTTGGTGTTGGTATTTACATAGCTGGTTGCACACACTAAGGCAGTATTTCTCAACCTTAGCAACTTTAAGATGAATGGACTTCAACCCCCCAAGCTACCCCCCCCCCCCCGCGGCCGGCCGGGTGGGCGGGGGGGGGGGGG